TATAATATTTTAAATAAAAAACAATAATTATATTATACAAATAAAATAAAAATCTGTTTGTATTGTACATAAATAATAAAATATTTTTACATGTAAAAAATAAACACAATAATTAAAAAAATTAAAGTATAATTAAAATTAAATAAATGAAACACAAAAGACAAAAAGAAAGAAAGTACAATACAATTGGTTTTCAATGCAGGGACGGTCGGCAAGTTGCAGTGGCAACGCAGGCAGCGGCAACGCACCTGGTGGCAACGCAGACAGCCCGACAGCAATATAGGACAGATAGCAACATAAAACTAGCGGCAACGATGATCAATCTGGAGATACCATCGCCGAAGAAGAACCATTGAAGGTAAAGAGTTTAACGTACCTTTTTGTTTTTAATTCTGAAGATTTATATGAAAAATTAGGCACCATTTATAATCCTAAAAGAATTTGGTTTCTAAAGTTGTCTAAGATTCGATTTTGAAGTTGTTTAAGATTCGATTTTGAAGTTGTTTAAGATTAAGATCGCAGATCTCACGATCTTACGATCTTGATCGCGATTTTTGATTTTCCATTAAAATCTCCAATTTTTATAAGATTTAGATCGCTAAACCTAGTTAACATCGTAAGATCGAACGATCTTACGATGTAAATCGTGATCTTGACAACCTTGGTCCTACCCGCAAGGGACAACATACTAGCTTTCTAGCCAGTGAGTTTTTTTTTGCACCTTATCCACGATAAAGTTGCAATATGATTTAGAGATCCTTTTGGGAGTGATAGGGACACCAAGATACTTTCCCAAATGATCAGTTTCAGCAATGGAAAGAACGGAACAAATAGCGTTCTTGACAAGCTCCGAGGTATTACCAGAAAAATTTTTTTTTTTGATTTATCGAGATTGACCTGCTCTCCTGATGGGGAGCAGAAAAAGAAGAGTACCTCTTTGAGGAAGGTAGCATTGGCAATTCTAGCTTTACCAATAAACACCAGGTCATCTGCAAAAAATAGGTGGGAAAGATAGGGACCTTTCCTTCCCAGTTTGGTCCCTTTTCAGCTTCCAGAAGTAATACCGCCTTGCAACTTAAGAGATAAATAGATAAGGGGAGCGAGGGTCCCCTTGTCTAAGACCCCTAGAAGGTTGAAAATATTCACCAATTCCCCCATTCACAATGACAGCAAATTTAGATGAAGAAGTGCAAGACATAATCAAATTAATTAAAGGTGTGGGAAAATTAAAGAAAAGAAGGGCTTCTGGGATAAACCCCCACTCTAGTCTATCATAAGCCTTGTCCAAATCAAGTTTCACAATCATATCTCCCACACACCCCTTCCTTTTAGAAAAGGAATGAACCAGCTCTCTCAAAATAAGAACATTATCCATCCCGCTTTTACCCGGGATGAAACTAGTTTGAAGGGGAGAAATGAGATCACCAATTTTCTTTTTAAGTCTTAAAACAATAATTTTGGTGACGATCTTATAAGCCACATTACACAAACCAATATGACGAAATTGGGAGATCTTTTCCGAATTTGGGACCTTGGGAATTAAAGCGATAAGACTTTGACACCAAGGGTGCGGCATAACCCCATCAATAAAGGCCAGTTGGATTTCAGAACAGAGTTTAGTTTTGATAAGCTCCCAAAATTTATGAAAAAGAGCTACATGAAGCCCATTAGGACCTGGGGCTTTCCAAGCTTTCATAATTTTCACAGCTAACCAGATTTCTACTTCTAGAGGGAGGAGATGTGAGAAGGTCCCATTCAGAGTAATCAACAATTAGACCCCTTGCAATATCCCTAAAAGAATCATGAAATGAACGATCAAGGGAGGAAGTATATAGATCTTTAAAGTAGGAGAGGACTATGTTATGGATTCCTTCAAGATCATAAGTCCAAGATCCATGAAGGTCCTTAAGCCCCATAATTCTATTTTAGGATCGACGTTTGATAATAGAGACATGAAAAACCTAGTGTTTTTGTCTCCATCATGAATCCATTGAGTACGAGACTTAAGAAACCATAAGTCCTCTTCATGTTTGAGGAGGTGCTGAAATTCCTGATTTAGTTCCTTCTCTAAATTGAAGAGAAAGGAGCTGTTTTTGAGTTGAAGAGCCTTTTGAATGCCCATTAAATGAGCCAAAATCTCCTTCTTTTTCTTATGAATATTATCAAATACAGTTTTGCTCCACACCCAAACAGAATTTTTAAAATGTGCAGAGCACTCCGAAATGAAGAGATTGGTGTGAACCCATTCTGAAGCAACCAACTCTTTAAAGGATTCATGATCTAACCAAAACTTTTCAAGATGAAACGGTTTATCTCCTAAGGTCAAGACAGTAGGATGAAGCGAAACCATAATTGGGCAGTGATCAGAGGAGAGTCTCAGGAGGTGAAAGATAGCAGCTTCGAGAAATTTAATCCTCCAAGATGGATTACCCCACACTCTATCCAGTTTTTCCCAAATTAGTTGATTGGCATTTCTATTATCAACCCAAGTAAACTTAGGGCCATTAAACCCTAAATCCATCAAATTACAATAGGACATGCAATCAGTGTAAGCTTGAATTATATAAGGTTAAATACCCTTTTTGGTCCCTCTACTATAGAAAAAAGCCGCTTTTTAGTCCCTATACCGAAAAAATCCCCTTTTTGATCCTTACTGTTCACAAATCCGGCCCTTTTTTGGTCCCTCCGTTAAATTTTGGCTTACGTGGCATGTTAACTAACGGAAAACAGCTGACGTGGTATACCAACAGGTAAAATATGTTTATGTGGACTCCACGTCACCCTCCACGTCACCCCACTTCCTCCAGCTTTTTTTTTTTTTTTTTGTCCTTTTTTCCTTTTACCTTCAGGCGAACCCAGCTTGCGGGTTTGTGATGAACCCAAGCACCTAGGTTCATCGCGAACCCAAGATGAACCCAGCTTGCGCGACTGGGTTCGCGACTGGGTTCGTGACTGGGTTGGCAATGAACCCAGCTCGTGTGATTGGGTTGGCAATGAACCCAGCTCGTGCCTGGGTTCGCGACATACCCAGACGCAAGCTGGGTTCTCAATCTCTGCCAAGTCGCGAACCCAGGCGCGAGCTGGGTTCTCAATCCCTGCCAAAAAAAGGAAAGCATGTTCTTCTCAAACAAACAGCTCTAGAAAATCCAACAACAGAAAACACAAGAGCAGCAAAAATTTCAGGAAATTGAAAATTGAGGATTTGAAATTCCAGCACTCAATGTCAAAACCTATTCAACTTCCTTCTTGGAAGAACCTGTTAAAAACAGTTAATTAACCCAAGTCTTGGTGCTCAATTGATCACAGAATCATCTAACCAAATCAATCCAATCTTACCAACTAACATTTTTCC